ATTTTATATGAGATGCTACTCATTGAGTAAAAAACATTATACTGATTATTAACTATACAACAAATATCAAGCATCTCAATCAAGGGCACACAATACACTCCCAATATTTCAGAACATTTCAAACTCCTCGGGCCATCAATGCCGGCATCAACGATTATTAGATAATAATAGCCATTCATCAAGTCATTCACAGCAATAGTGTGCAGATATAATATCATTCTCATTGACAGAAATTTAGATCATAGTCATTCAAGGCATCACAGATATGATGCTATAGAGCTATATTTCAAAAGTATAATGCAGATGATTGTTAGATTATTTTTGTTATGATCTGTCAAACCAAACTCACCTCAGGTATCAAATAACAGATTTTAGATATCAAATTTAGCTGGCTAGCTTTTAGATCAGATATTTTGAGCACGCAGCTCTAAATAACAGATTTATGAGCATGCAGCTCCAGATAACAAATTTATGAGCATACAGCTCCAGATATAGATCAGATTCACGAGTTGGTAATGATGGTCATAACTTCCTTTTATCTCATATGCAAATATGATAGAATTGCATTCATAGATTAGGTTCATTGGCCTCAGAATAACACATACCTTTTCGCTGAACCTACCCCTTTTCAGAATGAATCATATGCTTAACTGGTCATAACTTCCTTTTATCTCATATGCAAATATGATAGAATTGCATTCATAGATTAGGTTCATTGGCCTCAGAATAACACATACCTTTTCGCTGAACCTACCCCTTTTCAGAATGAATCATATGCTTTATTACATTCACAGGTTAGGCTCATTGGTCTCGGAATAACACATATATTTTGCTTACTTGCCTCTTTTCAGACAAATCATTTCTTTTTCAGATCATAATATCAAGTATTGAATAATATCGTAATTGATATATCAAACAAAACATTCATCACATACAAATAACCATCATAAGCTTTTACTCATAGTATATAGTGCAATAGTATCAAGGCCTGGAAGAGCCTCCTCTTTCACCTTCTTCTAGGATCCTTTTACCTAAATGGATAAGCAAGCACCTTAATACTCGTTTAAACATTTAATCAAACTTGGTGTGCATGATTTAAGTGCTTAACATTTTTATTCCTATTTGTATTTTTGAACTCCCAAAGAATTCTATGCATTCTCCAACAATCATTAGATAATTCTGAAATCTCAATTCAATTAATTACTCATCAATTAATAGTCTTAAAATTCACCATGATATCACCATTCAATGAATATTTCTTAAGCTCTTTAAACTTCCATAATCATATAAATATGGTAACTTCAATTTAAACATCATTCTTTTCAAACTAACACTTGATAACATCATTAGAATGTTTAAACAACTAATTAAACTCATCAATTCAAAACGAAATTATCATTTCCAGGGTCATTTCGAGTTGGCAGAATTTCTATCTTTGGCCTTAGGTGAGATTTTCTCAATTTAATCAAATTAAAGCTTAAATCATGGTTTATATAATCAGTACTAACTAATTAACACTTTAAATCATGTTTATTTCACTTATTAACATCAAAATCAATCTCTCGTTAAAAATATCTACTTGAAACCCTAGCTCAAACTTCTCCAAATCATAAAAATAACATAAACTAAATAGAGATTAAGTTACCTTAGATGATTTCCAATAAAAACCTTTTAAAAATCAAGCTGAATCCTTAGCACCTTAAACTTTCTTCTCCTTCGCACCTTAAACTTTCTTCTCCTTCTTCTTCTTATCCTTCTTCTCTCTTTATGTGTCGGCCTCTCCTTCTCTCTTTTCTATTTCCTTTTTGTTCTTTGATTTTTGCTATTACTTAGCCTTTCATAAACTAACAAGTCATGTGCAAGTCACATGACTTATTAATCTCCCTTTAACTCCTCAAATTCTCATGTATTCTTATATTTACCCACATTTGTAATTGTAACTATTCTTTATGTTAATCAAATCTATAATCCTCCATTAACACTTAATTAATCTCATTTAGGCTTTAACTACACATCTTACATGATTTAACATCAAGTCATTAAGTACTTAATCAAAACACTTACAACATGATTTAACATCAGTCATTAAAGTTACTTAATCAAAAACACTAATTGAGGTGCTTTGCTTGTGTAATCAAAACACTAATTGAGGTGCTTCTTGTGTTAGTTTCTCATTACTGTAACTTGAGCACATTTAACCTTCTAATTAATCTCCATAATCATTTTCTACTTTCATTAACTTATGATTTTGTGATTAACAATCTCTTACTAGTATATTAAGGCAATCTTAATCAACTTAATTATCAAAATAGACATAATTTTCTATAATAATCTCACTATTCCCATTTGAGTTAACTTATTCATAAACACTATATATAGGTGCACTTAGAGGCTTTAAAGAACACACACATGTATAATATACACCTTTTGAGTCTAAGATAGAGTGTTAAGCTTTCTGGGTTCAGAGCTTATTCAGATTCATACATTTGCATATTCACATTATTGTCAGATGCTTATATGCATGGTCATGCTTAGGTATATCATTGCCCAATATTATGACAAGTTATATGTATATATATACACACACACACATTCATGTGTCATTTTCATAAATATAGACGTATGATCATGATATGGTGTTTCAGGTCCAGGATGTTACCATATCTAATTTAATTAAAATTTCAATAAATCGTAACTAAAATTTCATGCTTAAAAATGTTAAAAAAAAAAAAAGAAAACCTAAACTAATAATTTATGCTTATAACTAACTAAAATTTATTATTTTACTTAGTCTTTTATGAATTTAAATTTCTAACTAAGATTAGTTAGGGTGTCGATAAATGGTGAGTTTTTGGTTAACCTAACCATAAGAGAGAATATAGGTTCAATGAAAATAATATTTTATTCATTAAATCGGATACAATTTGAAATTAGAATGTTCTTGTAATTAAAATTAGAATTTAGAATACTAATTAAGTGTTAGCCTAACCATGAGCTCGTTTGGAACAAATGAATTTCACAGAATTTTGTGGAATTCATTTAGAAATCCAAAATGTTGTGTTTGTAATGAAAAAAAAAAATACTGATTTGAATTCTATGATATTGGGTATGCCTAACTCAAATTTTGCTAAAATTGATGGAATTTGTAAATGAATTCCACAAAATTGACCATTAAAATATTTATTAATAAAATTACCCTCCACTGTAAATTCAACTATTTTTACTTTTTTTCCTTTTTGTGTATTTTCTTTTGAAAATTTCAAACTATAACAATGTTACTTGTTTTTATCCAATAATGACGCAGTTTATATTTATATTTTTTTTCTTTTTGTTTATTTTTTGGAAAATTTCTTGAATTTTTTTAAAGTTTAATAATAACGTTAGTTAGTTAATATTACTATAAAAACTGAGTATCAACAATTGTTTTCAAATGTAATTAATAACAATAATAACATTCTTAATATTTTTGTTTAGTTTCCAAATTAATTACTTAAATCAACAAAAAATTTTACATCAATTAAAAATAATTATTATGATGAATGTTATTGCTTATATAATTAATTATTGCTTTATAATTAATTAATTAGTGTGGAATAATAGTGTACTTATTTATATGAAATTTATTAATTTAATAATTTATTATTTATATTCTAATAAAAAATGACAAATTATTATATTGTACATAATAAATATAATTGGTGTTTGTTATTTATTTTTGTTAAATTGTTATGTCAATGGTGTTGTAAGAAATAAAGACAAATGAATTTTCATTTAAGAATTTATTCTAAATACAATTTTGTGGAATGCAATTGAATTCTTTATTTTAAATTGTAGCATACTAAACATGATAAATTTATTTGCAAATGAATTCTAGAATCATAATTCATTTGTTCAAAAAGGGCTGTAAATAGGCATCGCCAGTTCATTGAACCGGCGGTTCAAAATTTTTAAAATGTTGAACCTGAACCGGCTTTTGAACTACCGGTTCTGGTTCCAACTGGTTCCAGTGCGCTTTCGATAAACCAACGATTCCAATCATGGTTCCCGGCGATACAAGTACTATTTTTTTTTAAAAAAATTCAATTCTAATGTTACATCTTTCTTTCGAAAAAATTATGAGTTTAAAAAATATTGGTAAATTTTATTTTAACTAAAATTTAGAATGTTCATACTCATAAAAATAAAATTAATTAATTTTACAAAATAATTAAATAAATTATCATTTTATTTTGTCTAAATGTTATTAATATTAATTAATTTTACAAAATAATTAAATAAATTATCATTTTATTTTGTCTAAATGTTATTAATTAAATAAATTGTTAGAAAATTTTGAAAAGTGCTTTAAACAATTAATTTTGAACTAAGTAAATAATTTAAAAGGAAAAAAAATAAAAATAAAATAATTTTAGGCTAAATATTTCACTTTTTTATCATTTTACTTTTTTAAAATTTTAACTTTTCAAGTAAAGTGTATTTTCAAAAAGAAAAAAATCTCAAGTAAAATGTATCATATATTAAAATATTATTTAGACTTTTAGAAGTGTATAGAATAGGCTAAGTGATTATTATTTTAAAAATAAAAAATAGAAAATTTACGGTTCGAATCGGATCAAAAGTACCGGTTTTGGATTGGTTTAAGTTCAGATTTTAACATTCACATGAACCTTAACTGGTTTTTGAACCGTTGATTTCGGTTCAAATTTTTGAACCGACATGTTTAGTTCAAAATTTCGAACTAACAGTTCGGATTCAGTTACAATTCATCTGTAGTGCAATCGATTCCGATTTAGTTTCAGTTTAAAAAGAACCGCTGGTCCATACCTAGCTGTAAGAGAATAAAATTAGATTTAGGTCTACAGTTAAGACCACGGGTAAGGGTTAGGGATTTTCTAATGATTTAGCCGCATCCGCCCTCGATTGGTTCATGAATTCACTTAACACAGCGGCGTCGTTTTTTCATTGCACTCGAAACAGTAGAATTTTTCTCTTTTTTCATTTTCTCGAAACCTCTCTCGCCACGCCATATCGGTCAGATATTTCTCTGTTCTATATTCCCTCTGCCTGAAATTTCTGATTTGTCTTTCATTTCTATCAACAAAAATTCTCCACCCTTGACCCTTACATGATAATCATAAAATCTACACACCCTCATAATTTCACTTCCAGTTGTTGCGAAACCCTCGACAAATTTTCATTTTGACCCATTAATGAGCCCTTAATTTTACGTTCCTTGTTATCTTACTTTCGGTTACTTTCCCGCGATAATTTGGACACCATGGCTGCAGTTCTTAGATCCAAACCTGCAAAGGAAGCGGCTTCTTTCACAACTTCCCAATTCAGGTACTTCTTATTCAATTGCGTGCACACCGGTAGCATGTCTAGCTCTTACTCTACGCACTGGGATAAATGGGACGATCATTCTTCCAATACTCCCTATCACTTCAGTTCTTTGAAGCCCGTCTCGTTGCGCGGTGAATTCGTCGATAAGGGTACTCAATTTTTGGATAATAGGAAAAGTAGAAGGTATTCAAGTAAGGATTTTGGTGGGAATTGGAACCAGAGATCGAATTGTAGTAGTAATAATGGGTCCAATTATGGTGACCCACCAGAGGTATGGCAACCTCCTGGGGATGGGATTACAACGATTAGGGTAAGCGAATCCGGCGCGAATGTAGTCCGTGGCGGTGGAGGTAGAAATGGGTCTGGGTCCAATTCCAAGGATGAGTGCTGGGGTGGATCCAATTTGGGGCAGAATTTTCCAACACCAAAGGAGATTTGTAAGGGACTGGATAAGTTTGTAATTGGACAAGAAAGAGCAAAAAAGGTGAGTGTTCTCGTGGCTTAGTGGCCTTATTGGTTACCTGGAGTTTTCGAAAAAATGCATTGTTTTTTGTCTCTTAAATGCTTACAGTGGTAGCACATATATGTTTGGTTTAATTGGAGGATTCTTTCTCTCTTTTTTTTTTTTTTTTTTTTTTTTTTTTTTTTTTTTTTTTTTTTTTTTTTTTTTTTTTTTTTTTATTTTTTTTCTTTTTTTTCATGTTTTAGCAAAAAGTCATGGAGTTTTTGAAAGCTAAAGTACGCACTGGGAAGAATATGGCTCTTTTTAGATTAAATTCGTTAAGTTCTTTACTTTTTTTTTTTTTTTTTTTTTTTTTTTTTTTTTTTTTTCATGTTTTAGCACAAAAGGTCATGGAGTTTGAAAGTAAAGTAGCATGGGAAGAATATGGCTCTTTTTAGATTAATTCGTTAAGTTCTTTACTTAATTACGTTTTTTTAGTGAGTTTGTTGTTTACCTTTATTTGTTTTTATTTAAACTTTTTGGTTATACTGGATTTCTTAATATAGTTATGAAAATGTGCTTCTTTAGTTTTCATTGAAACTTCTGTCAGTGAAGAAGGCTTTGAATGCCAATGTGCATATGAAAGTTACAGGTTTTCCTTCCTTTCTTTGTAACTTTTTTTTTATTTTTATTTTTTATAATAAATGAGGAATGGAACCTCCTCCGCATTAGATTAGTATTATAATTGTACACAATGTGCAAATTGCAATCATATCAATTTTTTTAATCTATATTTAAATCTTGTTGTTCCTAATCTATAGGGTTTTAGATACGTACGTTAGCACATCATGCAATCCTTAACTACATATTTGCAGAATTATCAGTATCATTTTTTAAAATCTGTTCCCACGTTACATGCCCGCATTATTTCTAATTGTATAACTTCCTAAACAGGTGCTTTCCGTTGCAGTTTACAATCATTATAAGAGAATATATCATGATTCGATTCAAAAGTGGTCAGTTATATACCTTTACTACATGCATAACTTAGTCCATTGTTTTTCTCCTTTGTCATATGTGTACAATTAGAGAAGATGTAAGTTAATTGTCAGTTAGGCATGAGGACTATCTAACATTGTTTGGCTGTTTGTGACCAACATGTGCCAGATTTTGCCATCCTTTGAAACTCACTTTTTGTTAGCTGAATGACAACAATTCACATTAATAAAGTTTATTTTCGATGGCACTTAAATTGCTAGTTTTTAGTTTTTGCCTTATGCTTTCTCATGGCTGGCCTAGGGATAGAGAATAATGCATTTTTTTGTTAGCAACTAAATCTTTATCTTATTTAATTTGAAAAAGGAATAGAGAGAAGGTGATATTAGTTATTATAGTAGTTGTTAGCTATTGTAGTAGCTAAATATTAGTTGCCAATGGTTTAAAGCATAAGTCGTTTGATAAAAATAGCTGTTTGATTAGTTTTTTCAAATGTAAAACAATTTTAAAAAGTTCAATTAATTGTTGTGAACCCAAAACGTTAAGGAAATAACATTTCGTGAACATTCCCTTTACCCCTAAATGCTACTATAAATATTACGTTACCGAACAGTATGATAGTGTTTTAACTGTAGTTAAAATGCTAAACGTTACATTAAAAGTTGTTGCAAACAGGGCCAGAATTAACTAGGATGCTTGTGCCCGCAATAAATTGTAGAGCCATTCATTGACAAAAGTAGGATATCTATCCCTTAACCTTCTTGTTAACAAGATTTAACATTTTGGTAGGGTTAGTATGTCTTTGAGCTGTAATAGTACCTGACTTGGTGATTTCCATAGTTGTTAGAGGTGTGCTGTAGGCTCAATGCTCACCAAGAGCCAGGTCCAGCTCCCTATTATGATCAAGAGGTGACCTAATTGAGGTGTGTTATTGCATAGGTGCACTACTTTCTCTAGGCTCAAGACAGAATATAGGAATGCCTGTATTATATTTCTCCTGCCACCATCTATTCTTCCAATTTTCTTTTTTTTTTTTTTTTCTTATTTATATATCATGGATATAAGGTTTACTATACTAGTTTGTGGTGTATTATGATACTCCAAATTAAACGGGAAGTGATAGTGAAGGACAAGGAAAAGGACCACTAGGTATCATGGCATTTCTAATTGAAGATGGTGCCAAAGAAGGGAAGAGAGAGAGAGAGAGAGAGAGAGAGAGAGAAAAGAAAAAGAAAAAGAAAAAGAATTAGACCAAATAAACAAGAGAAAGAAAAAGACAGTGTTGTAGATAGTGTTTCCAAAGTCCATGTTCACCACTCTCTCTCTCTCTCTCTCTCTCTCTCTCTCTCTCTCTCTCTCCTGATTATCTTCTGCTCTTCAATTAGGATCCTCTGTATTTTGCTTTCCCTTTTTCTGCTCCCCCCTCCTTCTCTTTCCCTTTATTTCCCTATTTCATTTTTTCACCTTATTTCTTTCAGTTGCTTTCTAAGAAATCTAGAATACTGTTGTTCTGCACTCATAAGAATGTAGGCATTTATATTCTTTTTGTATCAAACATGGATTCTAATTTTTTGGTCTTCCTTTATTATTTTAGCAATTTCTCTTGTCACGGGATCTAGATTCTTATAGTTCTGGCAGTAGTATTCCATATTGTATTAACATTCTCTGTTAAATGCCAAAGGAAGGAGTATTGACTGCATAGTAATTGTCCTACAAATGTAAGAATGCATTTTCTAGAAAACTCTATTTCTATTGTGCTTCTCTAAAAGGTGTGTGCCTTGTGCTTTTAGCAACGATGACAACTGCAGATAAAGTTTGACGACTACAAAACTAACATTGACAGATTGACTGCATTTTCTTTGCTTCTGCTTTGCTATTTGCTAAATTTAGATGATTGTTTCATGCATCTGCCCCCAGTGGCAGTCCTTTCTCTTCTGATAAGAGCAAATAGGCTCACTCAGCTGTGCCCTTTTCATTGTATCATTGAGAGGGTGCACATATTATTGTTGGATTAGAGGTCACTAACTAGGATTTGCATGCACACTTTCGAGTCACAATATTGCCATTCATTGCGTTCATCACAAGAATTGTTGACTTCTAACATGTTTATTACAACTTGGTAAGTTAGGTCTGCAGGAGATTCAGGGGACAGCAAAGCAGAAGCTATGAATGATGATGGGGTAGAACTTGAGAAAAGTAACATTCTTCTAATGGGGCCAACAGGCTCAGGTAATTTGTCGTTATCCCTATTGTATCCTTTTCCTTTTATAATAGAACTTCAGAACTTGAATTATGTTATTTCCTGAAATCTGGAAGCCTGGAGGTATCTTGTCAATTGAGTTGTGTCCATACCCCTCTTTAGATGCTGTATTGATGGAGAACATCTGTGGTTAGGCTGTTGGTGGATCAATATATGTTGCTTGCTGTCTTTGATCACTCTGACTCTTGAAATTTAGGATCAAGATTTCGATTTTGCTGCTTTTTTTGTTAATGGTATAATAATAATAATAATAATTTTTGGCTTAACTAATATCAAATAATAATTGTGGACATTCTATGAAGGGTTAAACCCATATCGTGCTATCTCCTATTTTTATTTCTTGTATATCTGATGGGTGTTTCCTTTAATGCTTTATGCGTGGTGATGCACCTTTTTTTTTTTTTTTTTTATGGAAGGGTTAAAACCATATCGTGCTATCTCCTTATTTTATTTCTTGTATAATATGATGGGTGTTTTTCCTTTAATGCTTTATGCGTGGTGATTTTTTTTTTTTTTTTTTTTTTTTTGGTCTCTAAATTGTGGCGTCACAAAGTTCAGATACGTTATTTGTTGACCGGTTATTATTTATGCTGTTGTCTATTGGTCTAACTTTTTTGCTGTTTCTAACGCCATTTCAAGGACAGGGAAGACTTTACTTGCCAAAACCTTGGCTCGGTTTGTGAATGTCCCCTTTGTTATTGCAGATGCAACTACGTTAACTCAGGCAAGTTAATGGTTTTAATTTCTTCATTTTTGTGATCTTTATGATCTGTACCTTTTATGCTTTGCTCTCATCTTTTTTTTTTTTTTTTTTTTTTTTTTTTTTTTTTTTTTTTTTTTTTTTTTTTTTTTTTTTTTTTTTTTTTTTTGTGGACTTTGTTAAAAGATTGTAGAGTTCTTTAACTAGAATATTTTTGATGATTGTGCCTTACGATGGCATTTCCTCTAAACTTCTTGTGAGCTTTGGCTGCTAAGCATTGTGAATTATAACATATACTATAGTAAGTAATTTTTCATGTTACATGAAATGCTATGCGCAGGCAGGATATGTGGGGGAAGATGTGGAGTCCATATTGTACAAGCTACTTTTGGTAAGTTCATAAAGCCCTAAGTTTCCTCTTGTTTCAAGCCCTACTTAATGGTCAAAAACTTGCGTCTGTTGACAGTGACATATATCCTGTTCTATTTATGTTGTATTATTTGTCTTGTTGATTGTTTGTTGGATCACTGTATGTTCGTTGTAAACTTAGCAACTAAATTTCTATGGCAAGCTGATTACTGTTTCAATTTTGGTCTTGCATGGAAAAAAAAAAAAGAAGGAAAATTCAATTTTCATAACCTTTGCTAAAAGCAGAGGGTAGGCGGGTATGTTTGCCCAACCTTGGCAAAGTGGGGAGCCTTTTATATTGAGTATTTCTTATTCCGTATATCATTTGATTAGTTACATGAGAAGGAAACTCAAGTACTCTTCAAATGAGCAATTGTGCCAGTTCATTTTGCCACCTTGACCTGTGGAAAAATTATTGTTTCTAATACCATCCCAACCAAAGGTATTGGCATCAAGCTTCCTGCCTTTTTGTTGTATGGATAGGCAGTAAAAATTCGACCTCTATGTGAAAGGCTCATGACTGTATTTGGTTATCTGCATTGGAGTTGCCTAGCTATTGATATATTATGTTAATTTAAGCAACAATTTAACAGGTACTCTGATTTGGTTTGTTGAAGGCATGTCTTACTTTAGTAACTCCATTTCTTTATTATCCTACTACACCATCATATTGTAATTTGGCTGGCCTCACTATCATCTGTCACCCTAGTCTCTGCTCATATTTTGCTAACCTCATATTATTTAGTTTGGCACTGAAATAACAAAATGTTTAAGTTTGCGTTTTTGGTGATCCATTGCAATTTTTTACTTTTTTATTACGGTGAAATCATAAAAAGAGATTATTGGAACATCTTATGGACCTATGAAGTCCTAGTTCTAGCAAATGATTGATCATAACTGTTGTTTAAAACCTAATTAAAGAAGCCGAAATTATTTTAAAAAATCACTAAGCCTGTTGAATGGAAAATATTCTGTTTCCGAAAAAGAAAACTTCAGAATCCTTTTATTTACCTAAAAGTCATTAGGTCATAGTCCAAGAAATCAATATGTTGCTTCTATCCGTTTAACACACTAGTTGAACAATCCAAAATAATAATAATAATAAGGGAAAATAATTATTTAGTCCTTCCAGTTTACCGTATTATCTAAGTAGTCCCCGACATTTTATATGATATTTATCTCATCCCTCACATTTGCCTCTGTCTAATTAAAAGGTCCTTCTGTCCAGTTTTAATGGTTTTAGATGCTAAAATGGGGGAAAAAGACGAAAACACCCTTATGATGATGTGGACCACTTTCTTCTCCAAATGAAAACTTCTCATTCACATGGTGGAACCTCCATTAGATTGTTTTTCTCAGAATCATTCCAAAAAAAGCTCGAATCTTGCCATAACAGAGACAAGTCTTTCTAATTCTCATGTTTCCTTTGTCTCTCTCATCATCTTTCTAAAACGATTTCAACCCTCACTCGCTCTTTTCATTTGGATTCTCAATCTTTCTCTTTAAAGGTGAGCTTTTGAATTGAAATTGTTTCAATTGCCTTATTTGTAATCTTTCGTTTGATTCTGTTATTAGTCTCTTTATTTATGTTCTTTGCCAATTGATTTTGCCGCTCTTGTTTTCTTGTGAATTGGGTTTTCAATTTAGGTAATGAGGTCTTTATTTGATTTTTTATTTTGTTATCAATCTTCTTTTTTATGCTTTTTGCCAATTGGGTTTTGTAGTTTGTTTTTATGTAAAGTGTGTTTTCAATTTGGATAATGTGGTCTTTATTAGATTTGCAGTAGTTATCTGCTTTGGCTTTATGCGAAAAGAATGATAACCTTCATCTTATAGCAAAACACATCCATATATAATTGTGTTCTCATGATTGTCCATGCCAAACCACACTCCTGAGAGCAAGCCGTAGATAATATAACATGTGATGTTGGTGATGTCAATAGTGGCTCCATTACCATATATTGCATATGCACAAGTAATTAACAGTTGTCATTTTTCTCTTTCAATATCGTTTTATTTATCATTAAAGATTGCATCTCTGTCTGTTTGGTTTGCAGGCTTCAGGAAGACCCAATGTATCACTCTCTCTCTCTCTCTCTCTCTCTCTCTCTCTCTCTAGACCAATGTTTATCACTCTTCTCTTCTCTCTCTCTCTTCGTCTCTCTCTCTCTCTCTCTCTCTCTCTCTCTCTCTCTCTCTCTCTCTCTCTCTCACATCCTTTTCTTGAACTGTCTTCGGTTGAGTTCAGTTGAGTCTTCAGTTGAGTTCTAAATGGAAGAACGGATGGTGTTTAAGGGTATTTCACTCTTTTTTTTATATTTTAACGGCAAAAACACAAGAAAATGGATGAAAGGACTATTTAATGAGTCGAAGGCAAACCACAGGGACGTGTTAAATATTTGTACAAAATTTTGGACTATTTAGATAATTATCGCAAACGTCAGGGACGAAATAATTATTTTTCCTAATAATAATAAAAAAAAAACTTGTTCATTGCTACAACAATGGTGTAAATTGTAGTTATGCCACAGTGTTACGCAATGTTGACTATGATGTGACTATTTGGTTGAAAGCAGGGAAAAGAGAAATTCCTATAACAGGAAAATTTTGTAAAATCAATAAGTTTTTCTGAATGTTTATTGTTTTCTAGAAAATTCGAAAATTAGTTTTCAGTTCTCCATTTGGAAAAATTACATTTTAACGTATGACTCTTTTCTATTTTTTTTTTTCTTGGAAAAATTTGCTAGAAAATAGCCTAGTTTGCTACAAGTGAAAACATCCATAAGTTCTACTAACTTAATAAAAAACTAGCAAGGGTACTTGTTTTTTTTACCCAAATTATCTATTTACGAGTATTGATTCAATTCGTCTATTGTCAGGTTTCAGAATTTGTAATTCCTATAGAACTACATTTGTTTGGTCGTTAGAGTATAATGTATTGTTAATGGAAGTTTTTTTGTTTATGCAGCTATATAACTTACAACACTAATTCAGGGACTTATTTGACTCACAGTGACCCATTATCCACTGACTTTAAGTAGCATGTGAAATCTTAGCAAGGCTGTTGCTCTTGCTATTAAAGCATTGATATAATTGTATTCTTCTCTGTAATTTGTTTAACTATTCATTGATTAATACTCTGCATGAGTGGTTCTAACATTTTTATGTCTTTCTTGCTATGTCAGTCTGCTGATTATAATGTGGCTGCTGCCCAACAGGGCATTGTATACATAGATGAAGTTGACAAGATCACCAAAAAGGTTTCTTGCACATTTTATCTTCTAATCTTATATTCTTTTACCTTTGTTCAAAATTAAATCCTTTCTTTCTTTATTTTTTGGGAGAAAAATCTTTAACATTCCATTTTTTTCTTTTAATTGCAGGCCGAGAGTGTTAATGTAAGCAGGGATGTATCAGGTGAGGGTGTTCAGCAGGCACTGTTAAAAATGCTCGAAGGAACGGTATGTGGTTGTTTTGCATAAGCTGTTGATACTTTGAGCTGAAATCGATGAAACTGAAGCCATCATATCACTCTTGTAGTTTTTGTGTAGAGTATAGCAGGTCGGACGAAATTTTGATCTTTAATCACGGATAAACAAATTAGATTATTGAATCATTACTGTTTATTTAGTTGAAGTTTAATTTATGAATCAGATGTTTATTATCTTGATTCATTGCTTTATTTAGGTTGTCAATGTTCCAGAGAAGGGAGCAAGAAAGCATCCAAGAGGTGACAATATTCAGGTAAGGTGAAGGATGGTTTGTAATACTTGATTCTGGCTGTTTGATGGATTATAGTCATCAGGTTGCAACTTTATATAGATGATAAAATTTTGCTATATTAAGGGATGAGGAAGACTTTGTCCATAAGCCCAGTCTTACAACTATGATTATTGAACTTCTGTTAGCACTTGTCTACAACATTTCTTAGTTATTCTCCTTCATACTGTTTGTATCTTATGCCTTTTTTCTTGTTCTTGATTTTTGGCTTTTCCCCACAGATTGATACAAAGGATATTCTTTTCATATGTGGGGGCGCTTTTATTGACTTGGAGAAGACCATTTCAGAAAGGTTTTTCCACCGTACAGAAAATGATTTTTGTGTTTGAAAATAGTGTAACTCATCTTTGAAGGATAAATGATAATGGTAAATGTATTGCATTTGTTACAGGCGCCAAGATTCTTCCATTGGGTTTGGTGCACCTGTACGTGCAAACATGAGGACAGGAAGTGTTACTAGTGCTGCTGTAACATCATCTTTATTGGAGACTGTAAGTTCACACTTCAGATTGAGTCTTTGATCCATAAGTAATAGCTGATAGCTTTTCTTTTTCCCTCTTTCCTCCCCCTCCCTCTCAGCTTTCTGTTATTCATTTACTGCATGGACTCTTCTGTTTGACAGGCTGAAAGTAGTGATCTTATATCATATGGTTTGATACCAGAATTTGTTGGAAGATTTCCTGTCCTTGTGAGTTTGTCAGCTCTTACTGAGAATCAACTTGTGCAGGTAACATTTTGAAACGATTTTCTTGCAAATAGATATAATTTATGCACCTTTTTCTATGATACTATATGTTCTTGATGCAATCATGGAGGAAGTAAATTAATTAGTAACATAATTTATTAAACATACATCATGATAATAGACATCTCAATAACTGTTTTGCACCCATATATTTGTTTCATACTGATAACAAGTCTAGATAGAACTTGCTGAAAGTGTTAATTATTTTTTTTTTCTCTTGCATGGAATTATTTTTCAGAGAGAGGGCTAGATCTCAAAAGACATGGAGGCAATAGTATATAGGATCTAGAGGACCTAGACCTTCATGAAACTATAGCTCAAACGGGGTGGAATGATACATATATCTAACCACTAACTAACTTGGGACTAAGGCTTAATTGTGTTACCATGGAATTATTTTTTTATGACAATCATGCAATTGATGTACTTGGCACTATTTATTTGTATTCGTGGAAATTTGAAAATTGTCTTGGTGTATGAAGTCTAATTAATGTAATGTTTATGTGGTGTTATTGACTGCTATAATGTTATTCAGGTTCTGACAGAGCCAAAAAATGCCCTTGGGAAGCAATACAAGAAAATGTTTCAATTGAATGGTGTAAGTGTCCTCCTCTTCATAGATAGGTTTTGGGAAATCTATATCAAAATCAGTAGCAAATACTTACTTTCATGCTTATATGTTTACATATTTATGTGAGTTCCGATGGATTATTTGTCAATTCTCCTTTTTATGCTTGTCCCTAAAATGTTATTTTATTTTGAGTCAAGTTTACTTGTCATTTTTGCAGGTAAAGTTACATTTCACAGAAAATGCTTTGAGATTAATTGCTAAGAAAGCTATAACCAAAAATACTGGGGCTCGTGGATTGCGGGCCATACTGGAAAATATCTTGATGGATTCCATGTATGAGGTATGCTGCTCCTTGTGTGTTTTACTTTCCTAATTCTGGTGCAAAGATGTGCCTGTCGAATAACAGGTACAAGAGGTTTTTATTTATTTTTTTTTATGGATTAGGGGTTAGGATAATAACAGAACTGATACATTTATGTTTGTTTGATTCCTGATTTGATTACAAGTCGGAACATATTCTAGAGTGGACTTCATAGATGTTTTTCAGTAAAAGCATTAACATTCTCCAGATAACAAACTCTTTGTTACATTATCCGGTGTCATAGATCCTGTTATATGCATGTCAATTCAAATACCATCATATTCTCTACAGTAGTCACAGGGTAAAACTTTGATGTCTCCCTTCTTTGCGCGTAAATACCACTTTATAAACCATCTGAACCATTGGGGCTCACCATCTAATTTGTCTTGTTAGTTCAAGCAGCTTCTACTGCCAAAGAGACTATGCGTGGTTCCCACTTTTGACATAGGAGTTGTGCATTGTTGTGTTAATAGTTGTCAATAGCTTTTCTCTGTTACTTTCTCCAAGCCTGTTAATCTCATCCGCTGACAACCTGTGCACAATTATTTGGTGCTCTTTTAGTTTCATCCTGGTTATGATCTTTTATCCTTATCCATCTGACAATTCACTTTTTTTTTTTTTTAATTTCTGATTTTATCAGTTAACAAAATGATATCCAGATCACCACTTTCAGATAATTGAGTTTTCGTCTTTTTTTTTTTTTCTCTCTCTGTAGATTCCCGATGTCAGAACAGGTGAAGATATTTTAGATGCTGTTGTAGTTGATGAAGAGGCAGTAGGAACTGAGGGACGTGGAACTGGAGCCAAGATCCTCTATGGTAAGGGTGCATTCGATCGGTATCTGTCGAAACACAAATTGAAAGACACAGAGGTGCGTATTGGTCGAATGTATCTTTGATGACTAAAATCAATGTTGAACACATGGTTGGTGGCTAACACAGATTTTATTGGTTTTGTAGACAAGTTTGGATGGGTGCGATGGAGAACCGGAGGTGGAAACAGAGCTTTCTTCCATAGTTGCCAGCATGTAATTGATTGATCTCAATTTGTGTTGTACCCTTATCCTTGTTTGTACATAATAGGTTCTCTGCGAATTTAAGAAACTAAATTTGTAGATGCAGTTAAAATGTGCAGAATTGGATTCTGTTGGGTCAGAATCTTGACTCCTAATTGTAGTATTAAATTAATTGCCAACGAATGAGCTTATTTCTCGTAAGTTGTTTAGTGAACTGAAAATTAAATAGGCCAAATCTGAGGAGATTAAATAATTAGTTATTTTTTTTCTAGACTCAGGCTACGTTTGCTCACGGGAAATAACTTTTTGAAAATTAACTTGCAGGAAAATATGAAAAATATTTTATAGGAAATAACTTGTTTGGAAAATATTTCCATGAAAAATATTTTGTAGGAAACTGCATTATTTTTCAACGGTTAGCTTTACATAAAAAATTTTTGGAAAAAATTTTTGAACATTTGATAAACATTAAAAAATTTAATTTTTCATCATATAAATAATCCATTTGCACCTATTATATTATTTATAAGCAATCTATATTAAAGATATATCTAACAATTAGATTTTTTTTTTATTTAAAATGTATTCTAATGGTATAAATACTATAATGATGATTAATTTAATCTAACAATATAATTTAATTTTTTTAATATAGTGTATATCATGTTAAGATAATTTAACAATATATAAGTGCTATAATTACTGTAAAATATATTGCTAAAATATATATTTAAAATGGTATGGGCTTTAACATATTTTAAAAACTATATTGTGATTATTTTAAAATAATCATGTTACAAAAAGTACCATATAAAATATATTTTAAATTTTATGGACTTATCAATAAATTATTTTAAACATTTTTTTCAGAAAAAAAAAAAAGTCATTTGGCACTTCTGAAGATATTGCTGGCCCACAATTGTATCTTTGCAATAGGTGGAGTGTTCCTTGGTGGACTAAAAAGACTAGTTTTGAATTATGAAATAAGTATAAAAATATTTTCCATATAAATAAGGGTAAATTATTTTCCTTAATTGCTAATTTATTTTCAATTGACCAACAACTTAATTTTCTTGACTTATATTTCTTTTAATGTTCCAAAGAATATAAAAATATGGAAAATATTTTTCTCAAAGTTATTTTATAGAAATAAACGGGGCTTAAATCACTTTTAATCATATCAAATTAGCCTTTAATTTTAAGAGTTAAATATTTTAGAGTCTAAAAAAAGTGTATATTTTACAAAATTTAAAAAATGAAGGTGAGAAGCTTTTGAATGGTGGAATTTTTTCCTTTTTTTGTAACTAAATACTACACAACACTTTGTTTTGATAGGTGAAGGAATGTATATTGAATAATATTAAGTACGACAAGATTTGATAAGGGTTTAATTTATACATTTACTCCTATTTTTTAATTAAAAATTTCGTAATTTATAAAATTTCACTTTAATTTATTAAATACTTCAAATTATAAAATTATATCTATTAAATATTTAAATTAACCTATCGAATATCTCCACTTATAAAATTAGATAAATTAAACAAGTGTTGAATATTTGAAAGATATAAGAGCTATATTAACCAATTATCAAATCAATGTTTTATATATAAAAGTCAAAAATAAAAAAAGTTGTGGTTACTAACTTAACGAGGTGTGATGTTATTAAAAAAAAAAAAAAATGAAACTCAGGGTGCCACAAAATGTTTTCTTTGTTAAATTTCAGGGGCTATATTGTATATGCAGACGTTTGATAAGGTAGAGTAAGTCTTTTTAATATTATGGACAAGGGTAAACAAAGAAAGGTTCAATAAGTTGAGGTATTGGAATGTATGGTGATAAATATCATTTTGATGAAAACTACTATTTAAACTTTTTGGATTAAGTGAAATTATTTTTAATAGGATATTAATTCATGGATTTAAAAAAATATTTTTCAAATAAGATTGTGAATAGAAAAAGAGAAGAAAAAACATTAAAAAAAAAAGATATGAGTGGACAAAATTTAGAGTTTTTAAAAATTAATAGTAACAATATAAGAAATTACAAATTAAAATTCTCTCCAACACCCCAAATTGGTGGGTTGAGAAAAGGGAGATTTTTTAGGTTTTCCAAACCCTATAAAATAATCAATTTTTCAAACAATTTAAAAAACATAACTTTACGTTTTCTGACCTTACCATAACTTTATGTTCTCTTACCTTATCTTACCCCTTTTCATCCAAACAATCAAGCCAAGAATCTCTTTTTACATAGTTTTCATGCTTGGAGAATAAAATTTAAACTTTAAACTATTATTTTCTCATTTCTATATATATATATATATTATATAGAATTGGTCTGTCTCAAAAATAGTTTTATTTTCTTTTTTAAAAAATCATTCATTATTTAATTTCTTAATATATCTCTAATTTCATATTCTCAATCATATATTACATACATCGTTTAATTTATAAGGGGATATTTTTGAAAAAAAAGCCAAATAAAGAATATAGTTTCATTATATTAACTAGTTTGTCTCAGTTGCTATTTAATTCTTGAATTATAATCAGAATACGTATTTTCAAAATTTAATTACTTAATTCCTCAATTTTATCTTTATAAAACTACTATTTAATTAATCATTTTGTTAATTTCACTGTATTTTTTTAAAATAATTAATGTATTTAAGCATAACTAATGCGTCAAATTTTAATTTATTGTTGAAACTATAACAGTCAAACTCAAAGGATTTAAAATGCAAATTCGATTGGATGGTTAGCCTTATATCTCTCCACCCTCATTCTTCTCTTCGCAAAGTCCTTGAAGAGAGAGAAAATAGATGGACAAATAAGAGAAAAGGGAAGAAAAAGAAAAAGAAAAAAAAAAGAAAAAGGATCCAACGAAGAAAAGAACCTCTTTTTGGTGGAAAAGGAGAGAGAGAGAGGGAGTGAGAGAGAGAGAGAGAGGAGTGGAAGGAGTTGTTTGGTTCCTTGGAATCTATCTCTCTTCCTCCTCTCTTTCTTTTCTTAAAATTTTCTCAAGAAAAAACGAAAGAAAAGTAAATCATAAAATTTTCCCGAGAAAAAACCAAGGAAAAGCGAAGAAAGATAAAAAAGAGAGAGAGAGAGACAGAAGAAAGACGAATCTCAGATTTAAAACAATGGAGTTTGATAATATTGAGTGTGTGTCAGCCTCCGATGGATTGGAAGAGGATGAGATTCAAGACTCCTATTTGTATAATCACCATCAATTTTCTCCATCAAAGCCTCATAGTGCCACCGGAAATAACAATAACGGCATCAACAATGTTATTGGTCCAACCGCAACTGCGATCGCTCCTGCCACTAGTGTCCATGAATTGTTAGAATGCCCTGTTTGCACCAATTCTATGTACCCACCTATCCATCAGGTATTCTCTGATATATATAGTTATTCTCTGATATATATATTATATATATATATATATAATATATATATATATATATATATATATATAATGTTTGTTTGCATCATTAGGTTTTGTTTTTCCGTTGTATTTAGGCTATTTTTGTTGAATATATATAATGTTGTTTGCATATTAGGTTTTGTTTTTCCGTTGTATTTAGGCTATTTTTGTTGAATTTGGTGAATCTTTAATGGGTTTTTATAATTGGGTTTCAAAGGCACGAATGGTGATTCTTATGTGTATATGTGTAGGATAATTGTTTGATTAATGGTTACTTTTTTGTTTTGGAGGTCTGTTCATGGAGTTGTTTGAATTTTGAAGCATTACTAGCTTAATTCTGAATAACGGTTTAAACGACCATTTTTGGATACACTGGTATAGGAGTTTTGTCAATTGATCAATTTTTAAGGTATCTTGTGGCTTTCAAATTATGTGCTTATGCAGTTATTTGAATTTAAGGAGATATGATGGAGCAGATGTATAACTATTGGTATGGTAAATTGTAAAGTTGAGTTAGGGCTTGAGATCGTTCTTGTTGCCAATATTATGCTTGCTAATAAATAGAGATGAGCCTTTGATATTGCATATTAATTTAATTATAGTTTTAGATTTGTCTTTCTTGTTTGTGGGGAAAGTTCTGCAAAAGATTATCCAATTTTAGTGGATATTTCCATCAACTGATCAATATAGTTTATCTATCATTTGGATAGGATTCCATGAATAGTATACCATCATGAGCATTATAAATTCCATATTTTGACTTGAAAACAATGGAGGATTGTTTTCCTTAAGGAATTTTGACTTTGGAATTCTCCTTATCGCTGGACGCTTGTCTCATATGGCTTGTGAAAGGAGATTTCAAAGGTATAACTAGATAATTTTAACTTATAATGTGATTGTTTGTGTAGCAATAGGAGCATAGATTGGTAGCTTTGCTATTTTTATGAAGGAAAATGTCTCCTATATATCTTAAAATTGGTTGTATTACCATTAATAACCATTTAATTACATAGTCATCGCCATTTTTTCTAGGGATGTCCCTTATATATCTTGAAATTGCTTATTTTACCGTTACAAACCATTTCCTTATATGGTCCTAGTAAATTCTATATACTGATCTATAGATTGAGTTGAACCAATTTATAAGAAACCATAACAAATATTTCAGTTCCATGCATTCAAATATTTCTTCTCTATGACCCCTACAATTGTTAGACTAGTTAACCTCACAAGATTCTTGTCCTATTTTTCAATGGATTATGCTTTTGGCTCAGTATGCTATTCCTCTAGTGAATTTTTTTTTATTTTTTAAATGTACCAATGTCATTTATTTTTGTAATATTAATAATGATATTGCATAAATTAAAAGAACATATTCTACAAAGTGCATAATTGATAGGAATATCATATTTAGTTGTGCTGCTTGGAAATTAATGAAGCCAAATTATCTGGTTTCATAGATACATGAGTTGAGTAATATTTCAATAGGTTTTCTTTCCATCAAAAATCAGGCAATCAACAAGTTGTTATTCACTTATTTATGTATGCTCATTAAATATGTGCTTCCCTGCATTTAGTCTTTTCCATAGTTATATACTATTTTGTTTGCACAAAAGGTTCATATGTGGCTTTGATTGAAGTTCAAGATAAATATAAAACAAAGATGTTTGTCTTATTTGTCGGAAATATTTAAGAAGTTAACTTGCTACACCATGTTGCTCTGTCATGAGTAACTTATGACCTACTTATTTAAGTATCCTTCTTCGTATCTTGGTCTCTTCTGAAAATGCTTGTAATAATATTATAATAACTATCGAATGCAAATGTGAGTTTGACTAGAATAAAGCATGCCTTCATATGTACTTATGCTAGATCTAAAGTTTAACTATTTCTCTCACAGTGTCATAATGGACACACACTTTGTTCAACTTGTAAAACAAGGGTGCAAAATAGGTGCCCCACTTGTAGACAGGAGCTTGGAGATATTAGGTGTTTAGCATTGGAGAAGGTGGCAGAGTCACTTGAATTGTCCTGCAAATACTACAACTTGGGATGTCCGGAGATATTTCCATATTACAGTAAACTCAAGCATGAAGCAATTTGCAACTTTAGGCCGTATAATTGCCCTTATGCTGGGTCAGAATGCTGTACTGTTGGAGATATTCCTTTCTTAGTTGCTCATTTGAGGGATGATCACAAGGTGGACATGCACTCAGGATGCACTTTCAACCATCGTTATGTGAAGTCAAATCCCCGTGAAGTGGACAATGCAACTTGGATGCTCACGGTAATTTTAGTATTACCTTTTGGATTCTTTAACTATGATGGCAAAATCAATAATACCTTGATATGCCATGCATGCATGCATGTATGATTTTATGTTTCTGAGATATATCAAGTTCTTAAGTGATAAAATATTTTCCAGATTTTATACGAAATGACCTAACATATTATGTCAAAAGTATTTGCTTGAGTTCCTTGGATTTAAAAAATGTATGGTTTAGTCACTGGTTTTTTAACAGGAGAACAATATGGTCCTTGGTAGATGATATTATAGAATGCTGCTGTACATCCTTTTTTCTTCTGGTTTTTAAATTGGAGAACGCTATGATATTAGGATAAATTAGCTAAAACTTTGTCAGAGTTTACCTATGAGTTTTAATTTAGTGGTATTGGATTCATTTCCATGTTCAACTCTATTCAAAACTAAATTAACAAAAATAAAAAATATATCAAAGTTTTAAAATTTTTATTATACTTACAATTCTTGACTTTCCATGTTGCAAAACACTCTAGAATGTGGTATTGTGTATAACCTAAACTACATCGTTTTGAAATAGAAAGCACGATCATTTTTATTACAAGAAACCTAATGGGACACTGGAGTTAAATGTTGAATTAGGTGCAAGACATTTCCAATATAAACAATCTTTTCATCTTTTGGAATATAAACAATTGGCAAGACCTAGTAGATCAACTAAACAATAGAAATAACTTACCCACTTAGGGACAAAGATTTAAGAAAGGATGCGAATTGATAATTGGTTTGGGAGTTCATTGAGGATATATATTTGTGCGGATGTAAGAAAAATTGGTTAATCGCATAGCTTTTAAAATGGATAAACTGCCAAATATTTTCTTGATGCATAAAAAAAAAATCTTAAGAGGAAAGGCAGTGGGAAGGGTTTGAACTTTTGACCTATTATACTATGAGGAAAGACTCAATTGCTTGGATATTACCCGAACAACTATGACTTGCATTGCATATTCATTATGGTTTATGGTCTCTTGATTTTTTGACAATTCTTAATGCATCGTTACTAGTTGAACGGTGGTGACTTTTTTTTTAATTTTATCAGGTCTTCCATTGCTATGGTCAATACTTTTGCCTTCACTTTGAGGCCTTCCAACTCGGTATGGCCTCTGTTTACATGGCATTCCTTCGATTCATGGGTGATGAGACTGAGGCTCGTAACTATAACTACAGCCTTGAGGTTGGAGGAAATGGTAGGAAACTCATTTGGGAGGGTACCCCACGAAGTATACGAGATAGCCACAGGAAGGTCAGGGACAGTCATGACGGTCTCATTATTCAACGAAACATGGCACTTTTCTTTTCTGGAGGGGATAGGAAAGAACTGAAGCTTAGAGTTACTGGGAGGATATGGAAGGAACAGCAAAATACAGATGCTGGTGTGTGTATACCAAACCTCGGTACCTAAGACTGTTATTGAGAATATTTTTAAAGATTGTGTTTGGGATTTCTTTGTATTGTAAAAACACGAGCACTAAGTTTAGAATCTTCAAAATGGCAAGTTCCTTAAAAGCCTTAATGTTTGATTTTCTGAAAGGGGTTTTGCTACTTTATTCATTGAATGGGGTAATTGGTATATATTCCACGAGTTTTTTTTATCAAAGATACTAACACCGACTTCAATTTTGAAAATTATACTATACAATTTATGTATTATGATTCTGCTATGCGATAAGTCCAACTAATGTTAGTAAATGAGTCGAGTTGACTGGTGAGCTGTTTGAGCTCGGTTCGGTTTGCAAAAGTTAGAAAAGGTTGGCCTGAATCGGGCTTGAGCAAAAAAGAGAGCAAAACCAAAATTCTCATCTTGTACATCCTCCATTCCATATAATCTAAGTTTGTTTTTTTTTTTTTTTTTTTTTTTTTTGAGTCGAGGTTGAGCTGTGAGCTGTTTGAGCTCGGTTTACGGTTTGCAAAAGTTAGAAAAGGTTGGCCCTGAATCGGGCTTGAGCAAAAAAGAGAGCAAAACCAAAATTCTCATCTTGTTTTGTCACAATCCTCCACTTCCATATAATATATTTAAGTTGTTTTTTTTTTTTTTTTTTATTGTTTTATTGGCCCCTTCTTCAACTTAAATTATTTCTATAAATCATATTACTGCTTTCCCGTATTCACAAATCTCTCGATCCCATAATTTCTCTTTTTTTTGTTATCTTTTGCCTCTTAGATACTCATTAATTAATTAGCGATCAAAATCCTATCAAAATGTTTCGATCTTTATTTGAGCAAGATTGTCTTCTTTAATTTTGCATGCAGATTTTTTATCATGGAATTTTCAAAATGAGACCCGAGTTCAATCCACACTAAAGATAGCAAAAACATAAGAAAAGAATTTTTGGCAAGGTGGATTTATATTGTGTTTTTCTTGATATTATAGTATACTCTTGTTGGTTTTTTTTTTTTTTTTTTTTTTTTTTGCCCCTTTCAACTTAAATTTTTTATAAATCATTTACTTTCTTTCAAATCTCTCGGATCCCATAATTTCTCTTTTTTTTCTTTCTTTTGCCTCTTAGATCTCTTAATTAATTAGCTCAAATTCCTATCAAATGTTTCATCTTTTTTGAGCAGATTGTCTTCTTTAATTTTGCATGCAATTTTTATCATGGAATTTCAAAATAGCCCGATTCAATCCAACTAGATCCAAAAACATAAGAAAATTTTTGCAGGTGTTATTTGTTTTTCTTGATTTTAGTTACTTTGCTTTGTTCTCAGCCTCCATTAATAGTGAATCAAGCCGCTTTTAGAAAACTATGATATTGCTTCATTTTCTAACTTCACTGTTTTTTTTTTTTTTTTGAAAAATAATATTTAAAGGTATATTGCTTCTAATTTAATTATATATAACTAAATTCAATAAATATTTACTAAATGAAAAATTATATTCATAAAAATATTTTCAAACTATTTATTTACTTTTGTATTTAAAAATATTTTCAAAAATATATAAACAAATTTAAGTGCATAAAATAAATCTAGGCTCATAATGTTTTTATATTTTTGTAAAATAAATATATAATGGTTTTTGAATTTTAGTACTTCGATTGTTCTTCCTTTAATTAAATTATGATGGTTGGGGTTTTTTTTTTATTATTTATTTATTTTTTTTTTGTGTTAGGACAAAGATGGTTATAAATTATGAGAGTTGTTTCTATAAATATAGAAAGGTTAGAGAAACAGATTTGTGGCTTTGATCAAAGAGAGAGAGAGCATAGAAGAAATGAAGAAATCTGAAAAAACAAGAAGTTGTTATTTTCTTGAAGAACAATTAAGTAGAGGATTTTGATAAAGAAAAATAAAAAGAATGAGGGAGATTTATTGCTGATTTGGAGGCCACGTTTCAAAATCATCATCCAGCTGTCTATTTTAATTGCCACATCATTGCGCTTATCTATGATGCACTTCTTAATGTTCTGTTAGGGGCATAATAGTTACAAAAAACTGCAAGTTAAAGTGTATTATAGTTCTTTTGCAAAGTTTAGGGTGACAAATAGTTAAAATAAGAAAGTTGAGGAATAGGATTATGCATTCGGCCGATATCTCATCTTACAAACTTTTGTCCTTCTATTTTTCTTCCATTTTCTATTCAATTTTTAGTATAAGTCAAAGGACAAAAGAGAGAGATAAATGTTGTTGCTTAAAATACCCTTTAACCCAAATTGAAACTCCAACTTTCTATCTCTCTCCATCTCCATCTCCATCTCCCTCTCTCTTCCCTTTTCTCTCTTAGCAATGAACAACCTCTCTCTCCCTCTTAACCCAACCTTTTCTTTTTTCATCATTGGTTTTTGGATTCATTCTCTGCCTTTACCTCTCTTCCAACGATAAAAAATCCTTCTTTTCTCATCTTTATATTCTTAATCCCTCTTTTGTGCTTCATTGTCAATACCTTAAACCAATTGAACTCCTTTCATGACCATGCATCGGTGGTGGTAGAGTTTCAACGGTTAGTTCATAGTGAAGAAGAAAATGATTTCAATAGATGGAGGTGGGTTTTTGAAGAAAAACAGTTCTCTATTTTATATTTGTGATGATTTATGTAAAATTGGATTTATGGATTTTATATCCATTGATTTTTACTGAAAAAAATAAGACTAGATAAAGTTTTGTTCTTGACAATTTTTTGCAAGAATTGTTACTCCTTTCGTTTTTTTTATTTAAAAAAAAATTTTCTTTTTGGGTGTATTTTTTATATAGAGAAAGTTACTCTAAATAGTAATTTTGGAATGCAAGTGAAGTTAAAAAGACTAGAAAGCCCTTGGAGTATATGTGTTTTTTTTTAAGATTGAAGCTCAACGATCAAGGAAAGTGACAGACACAAATATTCTCAGCATTTAATGCATGAGTGTCTCACAGGACAAGTTATCAACTCACTTTTTCATTTCGTTTTATAGTAATAGTGGTAATTTTTTTATAAATTTGGCCACATAAATACATGGCTGGAAGAGTGCATTTAGTTTCAGAAAATAATGTTGAGATCCTAAAAAAATTGGATGCAATTACTAGTCTTTTGGCCACATTGGTGGAAAAGATAGATAAAAATAGTGAGCAAACACAAATAAATAGTGCACAATTTGAAGAGTTGCAGTCTTTTGTTGCTGATTTGAGGCAATTTCAGCAAGGAAAGGGTCTGTATTCTGAGATTCCTAAAACACCTGCTGGAGAAAAAAGTGGCCAAAAAAAGTAAGGATGCGCTCAAAGGTAGTGATCATCAAGCACTCGCAGCTGAAGTTCTTCCACCATTAGAGACACTAATCATCTAAGTCGTTCCAACTTTTAACCCTAGAGTTCTTCCAACTCTCCAAGTCATTCCACCAAAAGACGTCTCTAATGATTAGCGTCTCCATTTTCAATATATGATCCGATTCATTCTTGTGTCCCGCATTCCACTACCCATAGTTAGCCTGCCATCCTAGAAACTAGCCAAGAGCTTTGCTCTACTCGCCCTCTTAGGATCGCTTTGTAGGGTCAGGATGTCACTTGTTAGTCCTCATTGGAGTCGACTTCATCCAAAAACAATTGAGGCCTTAATGTGTGCTCAAAGTTGGTGTAGACTTATGAAAACAAAGGTATATTCATTTATTTATTGATTCATTTAATTTTATTGTATTAATGTAATTATCTTATTTTGAAACAGATGGATTTGCATCATTAGCTACAGATTGTTATGCCACTATTTATGATGATGATGATGGTGATTTGGAATATTCAGGTAATAATATTTTTATATTTATTGATTTTATAATATGAGATTTTTTAGTTATTTTATTAATTTATTTTTATCATAATTATGCTGAAGAGTCTACTACTATTACCCTCGAGTGAGGCATTACGATAATAAGAGCAACTTTGTATTTAAAGTTTTAATTTATCATTTTTTTGAATACTTATTTATGTATTAATTTATTTTCATATTTTTAATGTATTGTGCAAATCATTTGGATAGAAACTTTTATTTTTTTAGTTATTTTATTTATTAATTTTTTAAAACAATTTGGATATATGGAGTAAATGGGTACTTGGGGGTAATAGATACCCATGTACCCGAATCCTTTGGGTTTGGGAATGGGTATAATATTCTCTACCCGATAGAATATTTAGGTAAGGTATGGGAATATGGATAGAGTTTGGGTTTGGACATGGGTATTGCACTACCCGACCCGAACCCTACCCATTGCCATCCCTATTGCTCACATATAGCTACACAAGGATCAAGATGATATAAGGATGAAGTTTTCCATTCAAGTTCCCTTTTCATTTCCTTTTTCTCTCCCCCTAATTCTAGAAAGATTGTTTCATACAAAATGAGCCGTAAATAAATCTCTTATCAACCATTCGAGGTAACGAATAATAGAGTGTGATTCATACCCAACATATGTTCCTAACATTCTCTGAGGATCCATTTTGGTATGTTGTGGTGATGCTATTGGTACAGATACAACACACTTAAAAATTCTTAGATGAGAGACATTCGGTTCATGACCAAAAGCCAATTGTAATGGGGAGAATTGATGATAATTTTTTGGCCTAAGATGAACAAGTGTTACTACATGAAGAATAGCTAATCCCAAATAGAAGTGGCAACTTTGTTACCATAAGCAATGGTCTTGCTATCAATTGGAGACGTTTAATAAATGACTCTGTTATACCATTGTGTATGAACATGTGCTACAAGATGTTCATAGTTATTCCAATTGATAAAAACATTCATTAAAAGCACAAGATGAGAATTTTGCAGCATTTTCAAGGCGAATAGATTTAATTACATGATCTGTAAACTAAGCCCGTAATCATATTATTTGTGTAAGTAATCTCACAAACATCAGGTTGCGAGTTGATAATAAGCACATGTGACCATATTGAAGATGCATTTATTAGGACCATAAAGTATCTGAATTGTCCACTAGGTGGATGTATAGGTCCACAAATATTCCCATGGATATGTTCTGAAAACGCAGGTGATTGCTTTCCAACCTTGGTTGGTGATGGTCTAATGATTAATTTGCCTTGATAACAAGTAGCATAAGAAAAATTGTCATTTGTAAGAATATTCCAGTTCTTTAAACGATGACCATATGAATTGTTAATTATTCTTTTCATCATTATGGGTTCGGGATGTTCCAATTGATTATGCCAAAGTATAAACATGTTCGGATCAGTAAACTTTTGGTTTACAATAGAATGTATCTCAATTGCACTAATTTTTTGTATAATACAAGCTAGAGGATAAAATTGGTAGTTTTTTTCAATACATATTTTTTTTCCCGAGACATTACCAGTAATGTAAAAATATTCAACATTCATTTCATTTGTTGTCTTAATATGGTATCCATTTCAGCAGATATTTTTGAAACTCAATAAATTTCTTCGAGATATAAAAAAAAAACAATGCATTATGTATAACAAATATTGTTCCCTCAGGTAGAAATATGATGGCTCTTCCTGACTTTTAATTAAATTTGTACTACCAAATATTGTATTAACATTCACTTTTTCATAAGCAAATGAGAAAATATTGTCTATTTTTCAATATAGTATGCATAGTTGCATTATGAATTAGACACATTTTTATCATTGAATTTTAATACAAAGGAAAATTTTGGAATATCCATATTATCTTCAAAAGAAAGAAGATACACAATATGAAAATTATATAAAGTAAAACTATATACAAAATTTAACATAATAAAATTAAACATATAACATTATTTATACTACATGATAAGAGTGAAATTTGAGAAATAACTTGAAAATATTAACAAAAAGCTAAACACACATAAAATATTTAAATAATTTTAACTAGCAATTTTATCCTCAATTAAATGGTCAATCTTGCCATTAGGATGTCAAAAAAATTTGCCACATCCAGATATGTTATATCAATCTCAAAAAAACTACCCCATTGTTGCAGCAAGAGCAAATTCGAGGCATGAAAAGTGGAGAACATTTTCTTGAACATATCTTTATCAGTAATATTTTCTCCGCATAGTTTTAATTGAGAGCTATTCTAAATATAGTAGAATTATACTCACTGATTGATTTGAATTCAATCTTGTAGCCTTAAGTGCATCCAGTCGTACCTTGCTTTTGGAAGAACAACCATTTTTTGATGATCATACCTCTCTTTAGATTATTCCATAGGACAGATGATTCTTAACATTTAAGTATTCAATTTTCAATCCTTCACCGAGGTGGTGGCGAAGGAAAGTCATTGCTTTGACACGGTCTTGTTTTGATGCTCAATTTTCATTTTTGATGGTGTCTCCAAGATTATTTGCATCTAGGTGAATTTCAGCATCCAAAAGTTGAAAGAACAACCATTTTTTGATGATCATACCTCTCTTTAGATTATTCCATAGGACAGATGATTCTTAACATTTAAGTATTCAATTTTCAATCCTTCACCGAGGTGGTGGCGAAGGAAAGTCATTGCTTTGACACGGTCTTGTTTTGATGCTCAATTTTCATTTTTGATGGTGTCTCCAAGATTATTTGCATCTAGGTGAATTTCAGCATCCAAAATCCATGATAAATAATTTTTGCCCGAAATATCAAGGGCAATAAATTCAAGCTTTGCAAGGTTTGTCATAGAGAAGAAAGAAGGAAGTGGAATTTATTTTACCTTAAGGTTATTTCAAAATAGATGCTCAAAATGATAGAGTCTTGTACCGATAATTTATTATCATATATAAGAAATAGAGAGAATATAGAGATAGTAGAGAGAAAGAGAGTTTTTAGTATTCGAATCTTGGTTACCCAATCCATAGAATTAAAAAACTATTTATAAGATACAAAATACAGTTTAAAGGACACAACCTTACATTGCAAAGGAAATAACCAATCATTCCAAAGGACATAGCCTATATTCCGAAGGACAAAACTTATGTAGAAGACATCCATTATATAATATATTATTTATAACAATTTGGATATTTATCAAATTTTAAATTATATATATAAGTTATGTATAGTAAATGGTAAAAGAAAAATATGATTCAAAATTATGTTTCATAATTATATTAAAAATGGAACGTTAAATACATTATATTCAATGGGGAAGAAAGTTCATTTTGAACCCTTGACTTCGACTAGAAATTCAAAATACTCATTTTTTAATTTTGTTTTGCTCAAAAACCTTATAATTTCTAAAAAATAGTTCAAATAGCCCATTTGTTGGACCGAAGAAGATGCGTGAAGCATACTTAGTCAACAGAAAAAAAAAATCCTTTTTCAAATTAATGTGAAGTTAAGGACAAAAAAACACCATTACTTTGAGGTCCTTCTGCCTCCGCCACTCAAAAACCATCTGAAACTCAATAAACAAATGGGGAATAAGAAAATAATTTTCACAATTTGCAAAATCACTGAAGCTTATACATAAAATCTAAATTAATTACATAAGAAATTAAGACATGTTCCCATCAACATTACATATCTATGACCTATTAAATATCTTAGATATAGTCCAAAGATGAGATGATAAAAATTGCCATAACAAATTACAGAACCTTTCAGATTTGGGAATGAAAATGTATGCATCTTTATATCTTGGCGTGATCGTTAGTGCATGTTTATAACATTCACTAAACAATAAACTTGGTTTTGATGCCTATGCCATATTTTTTTTACAGGATTGAGGTGAATTTATTTTTTCTTGTTAAAATGTAGTTAGATACAGGTATAAAACCCAAATCAATTACATAAGAAATTAAGACTTTACCCAAACAATTACATACCTAGAACCCATAAATAATTACATAAAAGCTAAAACTGAGAGAGAAAGAGAAGCTCAAAACAATTTTCTTATTTTGAGATTTTGTTTTGTTTATTCAATTAATTAAAATGTAAACTTAAAAAAGAAATCGATAAAATTATTAAAATCAATTAGCTATCCACACATATGATAAATTTAATAAACAGAAATTAAAAATTAAAAAATAAAAAATAAACGAAACCTTTAGTTGCAGGTTAGGGCACTCGAATTAGAAAAGGCTTAAATTTGGATTGATTTCATAGGACATAGTTAACTTTAGATATCTATGCACAATATGCTATAGCAAACTCTGTTAAACACAAAAGTCATAAATGAGGAAAAGCAAAGAGAGACAGAGAGAGATCAGTGATGAAGATGAAGATGAGCTTGAGAGGGATTTGGAGATCAAAGAAAGAATGAGAGACACACAAAAAAAAAAAAAATTGCGTCGAAGTGAGAGAGAGAGTAATCAATTGAGGAAAAGAAGTCAATTCTATAATCTCACTCGCGTGCCCTCTTCTCACAACTGCATGCTAGCTGACCAGCACAATGTATGGGCTTTTGGGACTATTTTTATTAAGTTATGGGGTCTTTTGGCTAAAAAGTTAAAAAATGGGTATTTTTAATTTTTAGCCCAAGTAGAAGGGGCAAAATCAACCTTTTTCCTATCCAATGGCTTCCATTATAAAAAATAGTCTAATAAATAATGATACTTTGACTAAAATCAGCAATAAAATTTGAATTTTAAATTGTTTGAGATAATGAATCAAAATCCTAGATAGAGGTTAAATTAAAATATTCGATTATTTAGTGTATTTGAGCATGAGTGAGTAATTAAATAGTAAATTTGTAACACCCATCGCCTAGTCTCGGAGGAATAGATAGCGGATGCCACATTCGATGTTGAAGGCACCTTTCTAAGATATAGATTTATATCTTATATGAGTCTCACAAGTCCATAGTTTTACTTAACTAACAACTTGTGAAATAAGAAAACACGTATAAACCAAATTCAACAATCCATCAACTCCAGTAATCAAATCTAGATCAAGATATTTCAATAACAACTCATCATTAACATTAAGCCTTATATAATATCCACACATGATTCCAT